CATAGTAAAGGGAGATTGGTGATAATAGAACTGACCAGTAAAGGTTTCATAGGGAAGATGGGTTCTTTCAGGTCTCATAAAATGTAAATATTTTGGCTGGATGATAGGAGAGAAAGCATAACATGAATTTAAGCAGGATTGAGATTGGAGTGAATAGGGCATATCTAAGAAGCAGTAGCAGGGAGGCAGCCAGCTGTGTACCCAGAAGACCGACTATTGGACAACTTGAGAAAGTCACATACCCTTGAAAGCTAAATCTGTATTTCAGCTTTTCTTGGAGTAGGAGAGATTGTCATTGTTCATGCTTTGCCTTCTTCTTAGTTAGTGGAGATGATAGTCGTCTCATAACTCAAGTTGCCCTAGGCTTTTAACTCATGGATAGAACACTTGCTCAGGAAACAAGCAAAGTTAGCACATCTAGACTAGAAAGTGTCTTTTTTCTTCTCCCTTTTGGGTTATCCTTCCAGTTTCCCCATGCTAAATTTTCACGTTCATTCCCTTGCGTAAATCCTAATATCCTCTGGTTTTGAGTGGAATCATAGATCTGAATGAAGCTGGAGAGGTCATGTAGACTAGCATCCTGCTTTTGTTAGGAACTGAGTTTAACCTCTGCTTGGATAAGAAACTGCCTTCTTTCAAAAGACTGTATTGGGCCAGGGAAGAGTAGCTGATATTGTAGCAACCTTCCTGCCAAAAGAGGAAAAAAATTATGGAAGCTTATTTAAAGCAACTGTTTATAGGCATTGTAGAACAACTAACATAGTATTTGAGGGAATACCATTCCTGAGAGGAAGAAAGCACTTGGAATTGAGCTACCTAGTCACTCTGGCATTTTCCCTGAGGGTACTTGTCAATTCTCTATCCAAGAGCATGGGGTCCCGTCCCAGCAGAAAGCAGCAGTCCTACAGAGCTTAGAGGTTGGAGTTAGGGGCTATTAAAGTATTTGGGATCTGAAACACAAAATCCCAGGAGAAAGAAAACTGCCAGGAAGAAAGTGAAAAATGTGCTTGTAATCTTCCCTTGGGGTGTTTGCCAACTCCTGAGATACATGTGATCAGAGCAAGACTCCGAGAATCCTTGTAGAAAGCAGCAGTTGGGAATGTAGTGAACAATGCAAATATTTCAGTAGCCATATTACAGTGCTGGTGAGAGGTTGGTGTTCAAGGCCTGCCAAGGTAGAGAGGCCCTGGCAAATACAAATACCCCAGGCTTTAATTGGAGGCCTCAGAAGGACCACACTTTGAGCGTAAGGGAAAGCTGAAATAAGCTAGCCCTGATACAACTTAAAACTGACTTCCGACAGGATTCAAGTGGCCTGACTATATTCTTAAACCTGCTGGAAGAATACGTTACACTCTTAGGAGGAAGATCATCTGAATCATCCAGAACCTCTACAGTTTTTAAACAGAATGCCTGCCATCCAATAAAAAATTAAGAAGCATTCTAAAATTGAGACCAAGTGACCAAAATGAAGAGAAAAAAGAGAGTAGAAAGATATCCACAGGTGATTCAGATATTGGATTTATCAGTCAAGAACTGACTATGTTCAAGAAAGCAGAACAGGAGACTTTGAACAAAGATATGAAATCTACTTTTTACAAGGTCAAATGGAAATTCTGGAATGGAAAAACAGGAATGAGATTAAAAATTTAATATATGGGTTTAATAGCAGTTTAAACACCAAAGTTAAAGGGATAGAAGATTATTGAATCAGAAGAAAACTTAGTAGAAAACACCCAGATTGAAGCACAGAGAGAAAAAATATTGAAAAGAAAATAAGAGATAAATGAGATATATTGAAAACATTGTGAAATATATTTCACATATATGTATATTTGGAGTCTCAGAAGAGGAGAGTATGACAGAAGTAATATTTAAAGAAATATTGGCTGAGAGTTTTCTAAAATCTATGGAAAGTATCAAATCATAAATTGAAGAAGTTCTACAATCCTCAGTGAGGTAAATACAAAGGGCCATACCTAGGCATGCCATAGTTGAACTACTGTAAGCTAAAGACAGAGAAAGCTTAAATGCAGTCAGAAATAAAAAACATATTATCTTCAAAGGTACACCAATAAGATTGACAGCTGATTTATCCATGAAAAATTGGATGAAGTCAGAATGTAATAGAAGTATATCTTGCATGTTCTGAAAGAAAATAATTGCTAACCTAGAATTCTCTACCTGTCAAAAGCATCCTTCAAAAATTATTTGGGTAAAAAGAAGCTTTCAAACAAATAAAAACAGAGAGTCATCCACTAATTCTGCGGTGAAATAAATAACAAAATAAATTATTCAATTAGCAGGAAGATGATTTGTGATGGAAGCTCAGATATGCATCAAGAAAAGAAAGGAGGCCGGGCGCGGTGGCTCAAGCCTGTAATCCCAGCACTTTGGGAGGCCTAGGCGGGTGGATCACGAGGTCAAGAGATCAAGACCATCCTGGTCAACATGGTGAAACCCCGTCTCTAATAAAAATACAAAAAATTAGCTGGGCATGGTGGCGTGTGCCTGTAATCCCAGCTACTCAGGAGGCTGAGGCAGGAGAATTGCCTGAACCCAGGAGGCAGAGGTTGCGGTGAGCCAAGATCGTGCCATTGCACTCCAGCCTGGGTAACAAGAGCGAAACTCCGTCCCCACAAAAAAAAGAAAGAAAGAAAAGAAAGGGTAGATATATGGTGAAAATTTACTTAAAAAAATAATGATGTCTTATGAGATTTAAAATATGTAGATGAAAAATGACAATAATAGCACAGCAGATAGGAGAGAGCTGGTAAATTATAAAATTCTTAGTTTGAGATGTAATATAATAAAGCAATGATGCTTACTTTAGTTGCTAAGAAAGCTACTCAATAACAAAAGACTAAATAACAACCGAATGAAGAAGAAAAATGTGGAATAATAATAAAAATTTTTGGTCAATTCTAAAGGTGAGACAGAATGTAAATTAAGTATAAATGGACTATATTTGTAATTAGGAACCAAATATTTTTGGATGAGATAATGTATTAAAACCCAGTAACAGATTGGTTATCCCTCATCCAAAATGCTTGGGACCAGAAGTATTTCAGATTTTTTTTTAGATTTTAGAGAATCTGAAATGCTCCATTGAACATTTCCTTTGAGCATCATGTCAGCACTCAAAAAGCTTTGAATTTTGGAGCACTTTAGATTTGAAGGTTTTTGGATTTAGGATGCTCCACCTGTATATGCTTTTTGTAACAAACAAGCTTGCAACAAGCTTTCAGGGCAAAAATTTGAAATACATATTTATAAACTTGAAATATATATATATATATATATATATATATACACACACACATATATATATATACACACACACACCTCAAACAATCCATAGCCACACATACACACAGGCAGAAAAAAACCAATAAGGATATAGAATACTTAAGCAAAATTATACCCATTAACTGCAGAATATACATTTTTTAAGTGTGCATAGATCATTTATAAAATAAACAATGTGCTGGGCCATAAGTCAAGTTTAAATAAATTGCAGAGTATTGAAATCACATGCGTTCTTTGACCACAGTGCAAAGTGCCATCAAAGTAGAAATCAATAACAGAAAGATAAATAGAAAAAATAAAAATATTTGGAAATTAAACAATATACAAAGGAAATTAGAACTTTTTTGCCCAAATGAAAATGATATGTAAATATGTGGGGAGCATTGAAATAGCACATAGAAAGAAATTTATAAATTTAAATGCATATATTGAAATGAAGAAAGGTTGAAATCAAGGATCTAAACTTTAATATTAGGAAGTTAAAAGCAAAATTAATTAAACTTCTCTGAAATAGAAAGAAAGAACCAAATAAGAAGAAAAACTAGCAAAATAGAAAAAATTATGATGTGGAAAATCAATAAAACCAAATGTTAATTTTTAAATAAAGATGAACAAAATTGATAAAGCGCTACTAAGACTGAACAAGTACAAAGAGAAAACACAAATTAACAGTATCAGGAATGAAAAGAGATGTATTACAATAGATTCTACAGGTATTAAATGGAGGTGAATACATTCCTTTATTTCAATAAATTTAACAATTTAGATGGAATGAACATATCCCTTGGAAAACACTACTTTTGAAACTGACACACACACTGGAAAACATGTATAAGCCTATGTCTGTGAAAGAAAAAGAACCCATAATTTAGAATCTACACACACACACACACACACACACAGACACACACACTCACACTCATCCACCCACCCACCCACACCCTTGCCGAGACGGCTTCTTTGAGGAATTCCTCTAAAACCTTTCAGAGAAGAAACAATGCTGATCTTGCATAAAAGTTCTCAAAGTACAGAAAAAGAGAGAATAGTTTCTACCTCCTTTTATAAGGCCAGCATATCCTTGATACCATAACCTGACTTAGATATTATAAGTATTGAGCCAAACAAGTCAGACACAAAAGAGTAAATGCTGTTTGAGCTCATTAATATGAAATTCAAGAGCAGGTACCGCAGTCATAATCAGTGTAATGGTTACTCTTAGAGGGGTGAGCTACTGACTGGGAAATAGCACGAGAGGATCTTTTGGAATGCTGGAATGTTCTATATCTTTATCTGGCTGCTAATTTTAAGAGTATGTGCATATGTAAAAATTCATTTAGCTGTACACAAGGTTTGTGCACTTTACTGTGTGTATGTTATATAAGACTAAATACTATAAACTTCTCTGCTATAACACATGGATAGTCTCATCATCACATAATTTATCTTCTATCTTAATTGAATCTAATGTGCGTTTCACTTGCTAACATTTTATTTTGACTGCATTTGATAAATGCAAACTTCTGGCAGGAGCTGGCTTGAACTGCAGGGAGCATTTGCCCTAGGCACCCCCACCCCCCACAACTTTGGGAATAAAGGAATTAGCTAAACCCAGAGTTGACTGTGATAGAGCATCTAGTTTTCCCACTGTCTCACTTGCTTGCTCACTTAAAACAACGTTGTTTTCTTTCTAGGCCCGGTGGTTCTGGGAAGCGTACTTCCAGTCAATAAAAGCCATTGCCCTGGCCACCCTGCAGATTATCAATGACCGGATCTATCCATATGCTGCCATCTCCTATGAAGAATGGAATGACCCTCCTGCTGTGGTAAGTGAATTCCAGTACTAGCCACATGAGGCATGGTCTAGCTGTCAGGGTGGGTGAAAGGAAAATGTACTGCAATTGTAAAGGTTATTTAAATTCTAGCTCTCTAAGATGAGAGTGTACTTTTTATACTTGGAGCCTGATAAGGGCAGTGTAATTTTGAAACACTGACAAAAGTAAAAAAAACTCGGAAGCAGCAGCTTCCAGTGTGTTTTAAATGTGCGTAGAAAGACCGACTGTTTATTTATTGCAGAGATAAATGAGGAGGCATGGGTCTTGTTAGAAATCAAAGACATCCTGATGACTTTTACAATTATAATGCTTAGAGCTCTTAAAAAGTTTCTGTAAGCAACTTAATAATAGCTTGTATTTGAAGTGCTTACTCTCTGCCAGGGACTGTGCTAAGTGCTTTACATGTATTACTTCAATTAATATTTCCAACACCCTGTAAGGGAAATAATAAGCAGAAGTGATCTAGATGCGTTACGGATTGCTAAAGTCATTTGCTCAAGATTGTGGCAAAGGCCCCTCGCTATTTCCAGCAAAGAGATGGAGCAATCAGAAGCTGCTCTTAGGCCTTCGTCCTTGTGTGAAGGAATCACAAGGCACGTGTGTCATTGTAGAGATTGTGGCAGTGGCTTCTAGGTATACCTTCTTTCTCACTGAAAATTCCTGAAGTTCTGGAAATTACTACTTCCTAGCTGCTCTGAAGTGTGCCTGGCTGTCCAGCTCACAGACCTCCAGGCGTTCCTGCGAGAGAACTAGACTCTTCTTCATTCTTTGTTCTAATCATCTCTCCCTTTCTGACCAGCCCTCCTTGTCTCCTGATTCTACTTTTTCTTTTTTCTTCTTTCTTTGATACAGAGCGTTGCTCTTGTCGCCCAGGCTGGAGTGCAGTGGCTCCACCTTGGCTCATTGCAACCTCCACCTCCTGGGTTCAAGTGATTCTCCTGTCTCAGCCTCCTGAGTAGCTGGGATTGCAGGTGCCTGCCATCGGGCCCGCAAATTTTTTATTTTTCGTAGCGATGGGGTTTCACCATGTTGGCCAGGCTGATCTTGAAACTCCTGACCTCAGGCGATCAGGGCCTCCCAAAATGCTGGGATTATAGGCATGAACCATTGCGCCAGGCCCCGATTCTATCTTTTCTAAATAGTGCTGTATACGGCCACCTGGTTAATCTTCACATAGGACTATCCTTTTCTCTTGCCTTTTCTGCCCCACCCTCTTCCTTCTTTCATCCAACCTTTTGGAAACGGTGGCTGGATTTTAGGCACTCTGAGAGGTGCCGAGAATACAGAAAAAAGAAGACAGTTCCTGCCCTCAAAGAAGCTCTCCACTAATTTGGGAAGCTAGTAAGTAATGCTGTGAACACAGAGGGTCTGTAGCGGAGTGGTATGCTGAGTGCTGGGTGCATAGGGGACAGGCATCTCTCCTCGAAGGGATACTTCCTGAAGAGGGAGTGCCTGAGAAGCAGTCAGCATATGTGTATGGTAAAAACAACAGCAAACATCTTTTTGTTTTGCTTGAGGTGAAGTTTCCTTCTGTCTCTCTCGTCCTTGACTCCATCACCAAAGGTAACATCTCAGAATGTTGCCATTCATATATAAGCATAGTTTTGTAGTTTTCAGCATCTATAGGATTATCCTATACACATTTTTCTGCCTGTTTTATTTTAGCACTAGATCGTAGACTTATCTTTGTTTTATTCTATATAGGTCTACTTCAGTTTTTTAGGTTGGCTTTATTAGTATTCAGTTGTTTGGGTATATCATATGTAATAGGTCTATTATTGATAGGTATTTAGACTGCTTTCTTTTTTTCCCCCTACTTTCTAACAGTAATACCAGGGGTATACTTCTACATGTTTACACATAGATATGTGAATATTTCTGCAGAATTAATTCAAGCTAAGAAATTGCTTAAAGAAAATACACATTTTGGGGTCTGTGGGGGGGGAGCTAGGGGAGGGACAGCAAAGGGTGGGGGGTTGGGAAGGGATAACATGGGGAGAATTGCCAGATATAGGTGATGCGGTGGAGGCAGCAGACCACATTGCCGTGTATGTACCTATGCAACAATCTTGTGTGTTCTTCACATGTACCCCCAAACCTAAAATGCAATAAAATATATATAAAGAAAAAAAAAAGAAAATACACATTTTAAATGTTGATAGATATTAACAAATCACCCTTTTTAAAAGACTATATTAACGTATAGTTTCACAAATAACATTTGGGTGTTCTAGTTCTCCATGCCATCAGTAATGCTGGATACTTGAATTTTTGCTCATCTCATAGGTGAGAAATGATCTTCATGTGTATTTTTCAAGGGGAAGATTGATATCTTTGTCAAGTTTCCTCAAATAAGTCGACTCATAGTTTGATTGTTATCACATTGCACTTTTAGATTGTTTTAGACATTTATTTGTTCAGTAGGTATTGATTGAATGCCTGCTTTGTTCCAGGCAGGGTTCTTGCTACTTTGAATGAACAAGGCAGAGAAGGATCCATGTGTTTGGGAAACTTACATTGCAATAGATCTTTCTATCTGGAAGAAAGATTTGTCTTTCTGGTAGAATTTATATGATGTGTGATGTGTGTATATATATATATATATATATATCTCCTTTACAAGTATTGATAAATATTTCATAGATTTAAAATTTTTTCTTATGCTCTGATAGAAGAATACTTTCTGACCTTATAGTTCTTAACTGGTTACCATTTTATACAGACACATTTTGACTTTTGTATATTAATTTTACAACTATTCTGTTACCGAATTCCACAGTTGTTTACTTTTTTAGTTGATTCTCTTGTATTTTTAGATATACAATTATATCTACAAATGCTAAGCTTACTTTCTTTTTCCAGTATTTGAAACTTTTATTTTTTTCTTTTATCTAATTGCATTGGCTAGTACTTCCAGAACAATGTTAAATGATGATTTGAGTATTTAAAAAAAGAGTAGGTATTATCTAGTCAGAGAAAAGAAGAAAGTTAGATTCCATCCAGAAGGAACAGCAAATTCAAATGTACAGAGGGCCAGGGGAGCTTGGTAGTTTAAGGAACTTCATAGAGTTCAGTGTGGCAATAGTGAAGGAGGCTTGGGAGGGAGAGGCAGAGGATGACGCCTGGAGAGGGCCCAGATCACAAAACACGTGTATCCTACATATTATTTGGAGTGTTATCTGTGAGAAAAAAGTAATCACTGAAGCCTTTTAAACAGGGGCATGGTATGGTAAGATTGCATTTGGGGTCAGTCTGATCTTAGTGTAGAGAATGGATTATGCGTGGCAGTGGGACCAGACTGGAGGCAGTAGACTGTTTCAGAAATCCAGGTGGAAATGAGTAGAGGACACATTGAGCGGTATCTGGAAAAATGGACAATTGTAACTGGTAATTGAGGGAGAAGTTTAGAAGACTGACGTATACTGTATAGCTTATCCAGGTAGGGAATTTGGTTGCATGGGGAGTCATGTGTGAGGATGGTGTTGGAGTCCAAAATCAGTCAAACAGCAAGGCCCTCCACAATCTGCCTTTCTAGTTTTGTTTTGTTTTGTTTTTTTTTCCTGTTCTCTTTCAGAGAGTTCTAGATTTCTGGCAGCACAACTCAATCCTTCCTATGTGTGTCCCTGCCTTTCCTTCTCTGTGCCTTCATGGCTGCTAGGCTTTTCCCTGCTACACCTTTCTTCCCCATCATTTGCAGATTTATACAGGCTTCAGTGGCCCGCTGGTAGACTCCTTTCTCCAGGAGGTTTTCCCAACCCCTTCAGCAGGAAGTAACTCTTAGAGCATGTTACCTGTGTTTCTTTTCCGTCACTTAACATGTACAGAAGTAGAATTTCCTATAAAGTTTTAAGCACCTTAAGCCATTTCTGACCTTGATGTTCTTCGTAATACCTAGGACAACTTAATTCAGACAGGAAGACCTTGATATATAAAGGAAGGAAGGAGGGATGGAGAGAGGGAGAAAGGGAAGGAGGGAGGAAGATTGGCATCCCAGGACTTGAGCCTCTAAGGCATATCCTGCTGGGAAGGAGGGTAAAGTGGTAACTTGTTTCTCATCTATAAAGTGATTGTAATGAGACTACCTAATGACTTGTCTAGGATCATGTAATTGGCAAGTTGTGTGAACAAGTGAGAACCCAGGTCTTCTATGTGCAGATTATCTTGAATTGCCTATGGAATTATATGGGAGCCCTTGAGCCTCCCCTGGGCTGAAATGTTAATATTGTTCCAAGCAAATGATACAAGCTTGAGAAAAATATTACATCTGTTTCTCTGCAGGAGAATTCATACAGGTACGGGAGAATTCATACCGAATTCTGTCTAGTCATGATCCAGACAGAAAGTGCAGAAATAGAGGGACTTTATCCTGTACTTTTATCAAAAGCTTGAAGAGATGTTTAATAAGAATAAAGGCTTGGAATTTAGTTCTCCTTTATGAGAATATAGATAGGCTAGGAGAAAATAAAATATGAAATTTTACAGTTTTGAAATAAATATGTTTTAACTCAGGACAGAATGGTGCTAAACTCTTTAACAATTTGAGAAATAACATAAGCATAAATAAGGTATATTACTGGAAAATATGTTCTCTCTATATTTTTAACTCTTTCTTAAGTAATCCTTTTCAGGATACTTTGGTATTTATCACATTTCTAGCTCAGGTGATGAGAGCCCTGATTTAAAGCAGTGGGTTGTACATTTCTGCATCTTCAGTGAAAGCAGCTGATGGGAGGTCTGAATAGCGTTGGTTTATTTATAGTTAACGTCTCCGCTTCCCTCAGAAATATTTAACCTACTCTAGATGAGATTACCATGAGCCCAACCTGCAGGGGAGTCTCTTCTCTAGATTACATCAGATTTATGATGTCAGATACTCTGAGGTGGGAGTAGGTGTGGATCTTGGTCAGTAAATCAAGGGGTGTCCTGGGGTTTTCAGAGATAAACTCTTAGGGCCTTCAGCTATGCACAGAGCTTGCTCAGACTGGAGAAGG